AGTCTTCCAAAGAATTTTAAAGCACAGAAATTGAAATTTTAGTGTTATGCTTTAGATTATTGGGAAAATGAATTTTCTATCCCTCAAGTTGGTATTATATGGAGGTATAATATGCTATCCTGTGGTGTTACATAGAGATGTAAGGATGATATAATATGCAGTTATCAGATAGGCAAAGTACAAAACAAAACTTGTCAGTGCTTAACAAGCAGGTGCCTTGAGTTCAAAACCCAGTATTAACAAAACAAAAACAAAAACTCCAAACAAGCAAAAAGCACTAAATTCTTTTTTCCTAATGTTTACAGCCTTAGAAAATGCAAGAAGCCAGGCACTTGTGGCTCACGCCTGTAATCCTAACTACTCAGGAAGCTGAGATCTGAGGATCATGGTTCAAAGCCAGCTCAGTTAGGAACCTCTATGAGACTCTTATCCCCAATAAAAACCACTCAGGAAACCAGAAGTGGCGCTGTGGCTCAAGTGGTAGAGAGTGCTAGCCTTGAGTTGAAGAGCTCAGGGACTATGACCAGGCCCAGAGTTCAAGCCCCATGACCGACAAAACAAAAAGAAGCCTTGAGATCTTTGCTTATTTCTCATGTTCATTTCAGTGTTAACAGTTCACCACAATCATATTAATACTAGGGTAAAAGAAGGGAATGGAATAATTGATAGTACTTTTCAAATGAGGTAGACATTAGGCAACCTCCTCTTTAATTTTTAACCTTTTCATAAATGTGCCATGTCCTGGGATAGGTACCATTTAGCTCACTTTACAAGGTGAAACTGAAAGGTTAAATGATTTGCCCAAGGTAACGTAGTCTTCCAAATCCACTCTATTCTTATGTTGTTAGAATTTGTGGCAGTCTGCAAAAAGACAGAAAGGACTCTGAGACAGAAGTAATGTGTGATGCAGGAAGTTGGTAACCCAGGTTACAGAAAAGGCTGGGAAAACATCAGGTAAGGAGAAGGCAACTCATAGATTAGAAGCCACTACTAGTCCTAGGCTGTAGGGACAGAACAACATTACAGAAGTTGGAGTAACAAACATCTGGCTTGGCTTGCAGGAGTTACTGTGTATAGAGAAGCCCTAGAGCAAGAGTAGGGGAAGATCTAATATCTCCGGTTCCTCATCAACCCACCACCTTCCAATGCCTCTCATTGACCAAACCCAGCTTGAGGCCATCCACTAAGAAAATCTCCTGTGATCTCAACCGAGCAGAAGTGGAGCAAGGAATCCACCTTTAGGCACATAGGTCCAGATTCTGCCTTCAAGAAGACTATTTAGAAGCAAGACCAGCTCTACACCTTGGTCTGTCAGTTGTCTGGCAGATAATCTTGTTTTAAAAATCAGGAAAAATACAAGACTGGGGTGGGGAGTGTGAGCACTAATTTTTACATTTTAAGTAGCTTCAAACTATATTTCAGCCTTTCTCTCTTATCTAGTTTACTGATAAGGAAAGTACTTCTCCAGCAATGTTTAGAAAGTTTTTTTTTTTGTCTTTGCTTTTATCTGTACTAGGACTACATCCTTGTCCTAGAAGGTTTTGTGTGCTGTATATTTTTAATGTGGTTATTTAATCTACATTGTCATGGTCCCACCCTGTGACTAAGAATATAATTTACCATCTGATTGGAAAGGCAATATGTATGTATGTATGGTATGTATGTATGTATATATATGAGGCAATTAGTCAGCAAGAAGTATACATGAAGTGTTAATTTGTTTGCTTCACTAGGAAAATAGAGAGTACTTTGCAAATATGAAGATAAGATGCTCCACTATCAGGGCAAAGCTCAGGAATGGGGACAGGAAATACTGGTGCAGACACAGGCCCTGAGCTCCCTCACCGAGCAGTCAGTTCACCAAGGAGAAGCCAGAATTGCCCTAGACTGTCTGACCCCAGGAACCTTCCTGTGGATACATACTCCGTGGGGACATATTCCATAAAGTGCTATGAGGAGCAGAAGCTTCCTTTTCCTGTCATGGTGTCCACAAATCTTCCCTCAAAACCAGCAATTCCCAATGCCAACTACACATTATAATTAGTTGGACATTTAGAAAATATGTACATGTTATTCAAACAAAATTTAACCCCTAACTCTCTACACCAGTGTTTCCAAAGCTCCTTAGTGCTTAGGACAAGCTCTAAAAGATGATCCCTACTGCTAATCATGCTCAGTGTCCCCCTCTCCCAACATGTCTTTGCCAGTATTTAAAGTAGCAGCTATATGCACTGGGAAGTCTAGGACTATGTATATCTGCCTTAGATCATGATATTACCACAGCTTTATTTTAGATGTTTCTGTCTCCTCCTAAAAGGAATTTTGTACTTAATTTTTTTTCCAGAAACACAAAATCTTTTATATTCTTTTTGTAGGTAATTTTGTTTACAGTTTAGAGCAATAGACTCAAAGGTTTGCTTTCTTTTTTGTTCTTATCTTTGTATTTATATATTTATTCTGGTACTAGGGCTTGAACTCAGGGCCTAAGCACTGTCTTTTTCTTTTTCACTCAAGGCTAGCTCTCTATCACTCAAGCCTCAGCTCCATGTCTGGCATTTTTTTTGTTTGTTGGCTAATTGAAGGTAAGAGTCTATATGGATTTTTCTGCCTCGGATGGCTTCAAACCATGGTCCTCAGATCTCAGCCTCCTGAGTAGCTAGGATTACAGGAATGAACCACCCATGCCTGGCTTTTAAAAAATATTTTAGATTGATTGCTTTTAATGATATGGGGGCTTAAACTCGGGCATCTTGCTTGCTAGGGAGGCATGATCAAATGATTTCTTGATGTAGTTCACAAGATCCTAACTAGCTTCTGGCCAATAAACTTTGATCAGACTATAGTCTTCACTGTTGTAAGCGAAGTAGAAAATCAACATAAAGATCTCACTGAATGACAATGAGTACTCCCCAGAGATGAGATGTTATGGGAAGCAAAGGAGACCACAAAAGGAAGTTCCTTGTACTGGCATTAGTTTCTTTTCACTCAAGTAGGATTCTTCATTGATGTGGTTTGATTTTCTTATATTCGAATCTATTTTGCGTCCCTGGTCCCTGCCTCTCACCTCAACTAGACATAATAGTGCTAGCCAATTTTTTTTTCTTCCGCCCTAGAAAGATTCACTATAAGTGGCTGAGATGGATCAAATTTGACATGTATCATTCCAAAATATTTCATTCCATCAGCTTAATTATATGAACAGTGCTCCATTATCCCAGGAACTTAAAAATTGAACATTTAGAATCTCTTCCAGTGAAAAGATTTGATTTTACGTTACTAACAGACTGTTGAATATTGAATAAACCCCTCAAGAAATGATCAGGGCAATGGTTAGTTTATATAGTTACTATTTGTAAGAGACTGAATGCTAGTAGGGAACTATAGTGTTGAGTTAATGTGGGAAAAGGTGCTTAATTTAAGGAAATGTTTGGTGTTTGAAACAGTGTTAAAGTTTTGGAATGTGCACAATTTACTTTCAAGTGCAAGTATATATAGATGTGTGTGTGTGTGTGTGTGCGTTTGCGTGTGTGCGCATGCGCTCACGCATCTGTGAGGGGCCATGTATACATGTATGTGTTTGTGTAAATGAAAAAATACAACAGAAGTGTCAATAAGTGATGAATCTGATTACTGGTAATATAGGCATTCAAGTTATAGTCTTTCCCACTTTTCTATATGTTCAAATTTTTCATAATAAAGCTAGATTTTAAAAGGAAATTGAAAAATTTAATCCTCAGTGTTCTGAAATGTGTTGGAATATGACTATAAATGATTTTTGTTTATTTTCTATTTATCTATATTTCTATTTTCTATTTATCTATATTTTCTATTTTGCTACTTATTGAGAACAAATAATTATTTTGAATTACAAAACAGCAATACTTACATTTTTAAGTTATTAAAACTCAAAATAAAAAATATGAATTACATATAACTTTCCCAAACTGTATTTTTATTTCTATAAAACTTGGAAGGTTTTGAGCATTTTAGTGGGAACAGCTAGTTGGTTAATGTAGAAGGCTAGAATGGAATCCCTTTGAATCACCACAAAGAAAAAAAATCAGTGTTTGACTCATTCATCTAAATAAATCTATTTTATTTATTTACTTTTTATTTTTAATTTTTTTGTTGTTGTTGGTTATGGGGCTTGAACTCTGGGCCTAGGCTCTGTCTCTGGGCTCTTCAGCTCAAGGTGAGCACTCTACCACTTGAGCCACAGTGCCATATCTGGTTTTCTGATGGTTAATTGGAGACCAGAGTCTTATCTAGGTTCCTGCCTGGGCTGGCTTTGAACTGCAATCCTCAGATCTCCGCCTCCTGAGTAGCTAGGGTTACAAGTGTGAGTCACCACCCGGCTTTTGTGGTTTATCTTACAATAAAAACAGGAGTGATATGCTTTTCAAAGCTTCTGTGTTTCATATAAAAATACATTCATCACTAGTGTCTTTGTAAAATATTAATAATTCTGTTCCTACACATAATGAGATTCTAATTAATTGGAGAAATTGCATGTGTGGTTATCATTTTGCATTGGTGCATATTCAGATGGAAGAACTGTAGGAATTTCCAACAGCTGGTGGAAGTTGTGGATGGCCAAGAAGGCTGTGGTGAATACCTTGTGTTCATGCTGAGCTGGGGCTTACGTCTGACTTTAGATGCAACATCTCCATGATGAACGTGATGTCTCTTATACTTGTAATTTGGATTTCAAAACACCATGAAACATTTTGTAGTAGACAAGATGGTGCATTAGGGCACTATCATCAATTCTGTATCTGGTTAATTACCATCTGACTTTCAGGATTTCAAATGAGTGCCTATATCACCACCTTGATTTTTAAAACCTATCAATATAGAATTGCTAGTATTCTATACTGGAAAATTAAAGGGGGTGCTTATTTGTAAAGTTTGTGTCTTTAGTGTTTCTGGGTTAGAGGCACTATTATCTTGTATAACCCTCGTCTATTAAACATTATCTTTTTTGTTTTACATTTTTACAGCATGTCAATGAAAAAAGCAGTGGATCATCTTCTAAACAAGGAGAAAAGAAAGGATCGGATGAGGTAATTTCCACAATATTTCAAATGATTTTCTCTTGTCTTTAAGGTTTTTGTTGTTGTTGTTGTTTGTTTTTCTCCATCATGGGGCTTGAATTCTGGGCCTGGGCTCTGTCCCTCAGCTCTTCAGCTTAAGGCTAGAACTCTACCACCTGAACTATAGCACCACTTCCAGTTTTCTGGTGATTAATTGGAGATAAGAGTGTCATGGACTTCTTGCCCGAGCTGGCTTTGAACCGAGATTCTCAGATCTTAGCCTCCTGAATAGCTAAGATTACAGGTGTAAGCCACCAGCACCCAGCTTCTTGTCTTTAAGTTTTGACTTCTGTCTTGAACTATTAAATAATGATGTAGTAAGGAATCTTGTGAATGCTGACAAGTTTAGTCTTAAATCAGATGTGATTCAAGAGTATAAGTGGAAGTCATGAAAGTAATTTTAAGTGATTCTTAAACCCTTGCAGCTAGCTACAATTTAGAACTAGAACTCATTATTTTAAATTTTATTATCTTTACTTGTACAAAAGAGTTGCTATTCAACAAAATATTACATGAATACAGTGCATCTTGATCAGTGTCACCCCTTTTATTATTCTCCCCCATCCCTCCCAACCATACCCCTTTCCTCAATGTTTTAAATTTTATAGAATATATATTGAGTTTTTAAAGCATTTGATTGTTCGGCTGGTGAGCATGATAGATAAAGAAGGGAAATCAAAAGCTGTGGTGTGAAAGGAAATATTTTTGTAAGTATGTACCATGAAAGGACAGCTATGGCCTAGTTTAACCAGTTATTCAGGTTTGGAGACAAAAGGAAACCATTTTTATTTGTATCATATCTGTGGAAATACTAGTAAAATTAAATCTCCCCACTTTCTGATGGAATTTCTTTATACCTATGAATTTCTCCTTTTACTGAATGATGCCCTGTTGTTTATATGCACGTCAACACTGACCTACTTCACTGTTTAGGGTCATGTGAAAGTTCTGTCCTTCAAGCCTTACTGGATTTACCTCCTTTTGTTGCTTTCTAGCACATTCCATTCACTAGTCCCTGAGTGTTTCTATTGTTTATCTTTGCAAAAAAATTTTTGGCAGTATTGGGGTGTGAGTTCAGTGCTTCCTGCTTACTAAGCAGGTGCTCTACCACTTCAGCCATTCTATCAGTCTCTTTTAGCACTGGCCATTTTTGAGATAGAATCTTGCTTTATGCCTGTGTTAGTCTGTGCAGTGATGCTCCTATTTGTCCTTCTCCACATTGCTGGGGTGGCAGGTGCCCATCACTAAACACAGCCCTTGAGATAGCTTGGGGATGACAGGTAGGTATGTGCACTGTGCTCAGCCATTGGTTGAGATGCGCTGACGTCAAAAGTAGTTCCTCAGGCTCTACCTCTCAAGTTGTTAGGATTATGGGCTTGAGACACCATGCCTACCTCTATCTTTTCTTACCATAGAAATTTTAAAAAAAGAAAAACAACTTTGCCTATGGAAGACAAACATCAAAAATAAATAAAATAAAAAGTTAGATTTCCTACTGTTCCTTTAAAGAAAAGTATTAAGTTTAAAATTTACACTTAACTGACCCCATGGCACTTATGATATCTGACTATTTATCTAGATCCCAAAGCCTCTCACCTCTATATTGATAATAGACTTGGAAAACAGTGAAGAAGCTCTATTATAAATGCCATCAGGAAAGAGCTCAAAATGTCTATACTTTGATTTTGAAATGTATCTCAAAAGGAAGAAGGGATTTTTCATATATCTATAAGCAATTCAAACAATTGTGATGTTTTGCAACATCACTGGGAAATTCACATTTACAGTCCTGCCCTTATGCAGGAACCTGGGAGTATCAGGGGTTTTGTTGTTGTTTCTTTCAGTTTTGGTTTAGGAGAGAGTCTCTCTTATTCCTATGGTATGAAACAAAGTCAACAGTTTATTTGAAAGAATGACTCATGAATCAAGCAGTACTCAAAACTGGAAGAATATTACAGAGTTTTGGTCTCTCCCCAAGTTCTGCCCATGTCTTTTTTCCAGGGAAGTTAAAAGAGTATGATTTTGATTGCGAAGATAAATTTCCAAGATGATCTGTTCCTAGAGTTTCTAATTACTTATGCAAGGTGTGACTAAGTATTGGCAAGGGACAGTTTAAGAAAATTAACCTACCTTAGACATTATTTTAGTCTGTATGTTCAAGATGATAAAACCATGTGTCATATGGATTTGCTGTTTGTCCTACACATCATCTAAGATCAGTTCCATCTTTTCTTCTCATTATTGCTGGAGATAGATTTTTCTGACTTTTCTAACTTCTTTTATCAGTACTTTGCTGAATAAGAAATGAGATTAAGAAAGTTTTAGCCATCAACATCCCCAGTCATAAAGGAAATGTAAATCAAAATAACACTGAAATTCTATCTCACCCCAGTTAGATTGGCCAACATTGAGAATTTGAACAACAAATGCTGGCAGGGACATGGGAGAAAAGGAACCATATTATACTGTCAGTAGGAGTGTAAACTAGTACAACCACTGTGAATGGAAGTTTTGAGGTTCCTCAAAAAGTTAAATGTGGAACTTTGCTAGATCCAGGCATACCACTCTTGGGGCAGCTCCCCAAAACATAGCAACTCAGGATATAGTAAGGTCATCCATGTTCATTGCTGCATTGTTCACAATGACAGTTTCTACATAAATATATAGAAACAACCCAGAAGCCCTACAGTAGATGAATGAATGAATGAATGAACTATGCAACTTGTGAGCAGGGGTAGAGCAGGGAACTAGGAGAGAACCAAGGAATGGGTGACTTTGTCCAAGAAAAATTGTATCCATTACTTGACTTATGGAATTGTAACCCTTCTGTACAATACCTGGGTAATAACAATAAAATTACATTTTTTTAAAGAAAGTTTGATCCAGATGTTGTCTGTCTTGTCTGATAATCCTAGTTACTCAGGAAGCTGAGACAGGACGATCTCAGTTGCCAGTCTAGGCAACATATTAACATGCTATCTCAAAAATAGAACAAATCATACCAAAACAAATATTTTTGGAAGTGTTATAATACATTTTCAAGTTAGTACGCTCCACAAAAGATTAACTGATTATCACCAAGAATATGAAAATGTTCTGATAAGGTCTTTGAAACCAAATCATATTGAGAATTTGCTTTCTGTATTTCTGGAATCCTTGGGAGTTTCTCTTCTTTCTCAATTACTTTTCTGCATTTCACTTAGAAGTATAACAAAGACTTCAAGAGGTTAACATTAGAGTATATAGCCAGAAGAAAAAAATGTTGAGAGTCAAGTGAGAACCACCACTATATTCTACAAATTTCACAACTCTTTCTTTTGCTATTGTCAATAGATCTTGCCTTTTTTGGGGGGGAATGTGACTTCTGTATATTAAAGGGATATGAAGATATCTGCAGCAATTTTAATAGAGTGATGCAACTAAACTATCATTTGTTAATACTGCATTTGTAATACAAATTCCTGAGAATGGAATAGGGCAAATACCTAGGAAAATGTGGTTGTTTGTACCAGTCATTATGGGTTTGTCAAGTCCTTCACCAATATAGGGGAATTTTAAGACCAAATGGTGCTGGACTTACAAGCCTAAGCTAGAATGACTAGACAACAGGAAAAGGAAGCACGAAGACATTTAACATGAGCATCTTTAAATACAGTGGAAAAAGAACTCTTCCAAAAACCTATAATCAAGTCTATTTAAAGTACTTGACTGACATACCTGGCCACACTTGGGGGGAGGAAGCTGGGGGGGAAGGTTTGTTTCTTAGCAAATTTTTTAACAAGGCCCTGGAGAATGAAATTTAAAACTTAAAGTGGACATGATCTTACAGAGTCAATTTTAAAATCTTCAAATATAAAATGTATGCACTTTTATGACTAAGGGAAGGAGGATGTGAGTATAAGAGTGTTTCAAGGGAAAATATATTTAATACAATTTTATTGTCTTAGTAGAGTAAGCAGATTTTTTTTCCGGGTTATTTACCTTTTTCTTTTAAAATACCCTCCTCCAGAATTGAAAGTGGCCACTATTTACATCCTGGTGCATGTACTTATGTTTTGTGTGTGTGTGTGTGTGTGTGTGTGTGTGTGTGTGTGTGTGTGTGTACAGTGATCTTTCAGTATCTGTGAGAAGTTGGATCCAGGAACCCACACAGATACTAAAACCTGACTGATGCTTAAGTCCCTTATTTAAGTGATATTCTATTTCCATATAACTTAAATTTTCTGGTGTAGTTTAAATAATCTCTAGATCACTTACAGTACCTAATACCAAGTAAAATGTGTGCAAATAGTTGTTATATTGTTTTTGAAAATAATTGGTGAATGTCTGTATGTGTTTGGGTTTTTTCCAAGTATTTTTTATGCAATGCAGATTGAATTCACAAATATTAAATTCACAAATATGGATGGCTGAATGTATATTTATCTTTAATAAGATATCACATATCCCAGTTTTTGAGCAACGATAGCAAAGGTGCATCATTAACAAAGCCTAGAATAAACAAAATGCTTCAAGATATATAAATCTTTTCAAATTAAAGAAACAGTATTCAAGACAGGTGCCAGTGGCTCATGCCTGTAATCCTAGCAATTCAGCAGGCTGGGATCTGAGGATTATGGTTTAAAGCCAGCCTGGGTAGAAAAGTCCCCCTGAGACTCTTTTTTTTTTTCCATTTAATCCCTAGAAAACTGGAAGTGGCACTGTGGCTCAAAATGGTAGGATGCTAGCCTTGAGCAAGAGCTGAGGGACAGTGCCCAGGCCCTGAGTTCAAGCCCCATAACAGAAGAAAGAAAGAAAGAAAGAAAGAAAGAAAGAAAGAAAGAAAGAAAGAAAGAAAGAAAGAAAGAAAGAAAGAAAGGAAGGAAGGAAGGAAGGAAAAGGAAGGAAGGAAGGAAGGAAGGAAGGAAGAAAGAAAGGAAGGAAGAAAGGAAGGAAGGAAGGAAGAAAGAAAGGAAGGAAAGAGGGGAGGA